GGTGTGAGGACATTCAAGAATCCCTACGGACAGGCCCACGTGACTGGGAACAAAGGCCTCTGGCCAACAGCTGTGCCCGGAGCTTGGGGGTGAATCCTCCAGCCCCAGTCCAGCCTTCAGATGATACAGCCCTGCCAGCATCTTGACTGTAACCTCGTGAGAGACCCTGAGCCAGAACCATCTGACAGAACCAGATTCCTGACCCTCATAAAATGTGAGCTAACACATATTTGTTATTTTAAGACACTGCATTTTGAGGTCGTTTGTTTCCCGGCAATAGGTAACTAATACACAGGAGCGGGTGAGTCAAGCCCTCGCTCCTGAAGCAAACCCTCTCCAGGGCTCCGGCCTCCCCAAACCGCTCACCTGTGCTCCAGCTTCTTGCGGCTGATGCACATGGCCCGCTGGAAACCCTGGGCGATGCACACCTTGTGGCGGCTGCACTTCACCTTCTGGCAGGGGTCCTTGGTGGTGTCCAGGGCTGCAGGCACACGGTCAGAACTCAGGTCAGCTGGGAGTCAGTGCCAGAGATCCCGGGAGCCCCCAGCCTCGCTTCTGAGCCCCCAAGTCCCTGCCTCCAGCAGCTCTTGATAACCAGAGCCCCTCAGCTCCTTGGCTGCCCAGGGTCAGGACTTGCCCTCTGGCCTCAAGGCTTCCTGGGTGTCAGTCACCTTCCCCGGCCTGGCAGGGGCATGTTACCTTCATCTCCTTGCTGACTGTCCTCCCAGCTCTTGATGTAATCATCCTAGGAAAGGACAGAGGGGGTGGAGAAGGGAAGGGCTAAGACTCACATCTCAGAGGTTCAACTCCAGGCCCAGGCAGGACAGGGCTGGGCCGCTGCTTGCACATGTAAATTTTTCACCATCTTGATGGCTGCTCAGTTGACCCCTGTCCACCCAGGCCCTGTCAGCGGCCTCCCCCAAACCTCTATTCCCCTAAACCCATGTCCAGAAACCCTTCCAGCTTCTCCCATAAGCTCCTTTTCCACTCCCATCCTCTCCCCATCTCTCCCCCCTTCCCCTCGGACAATCCCACACTGAATGCTACAGGGAAGTCAGGGTGAGGGTGCAAAGAGAGGAGGGGGAGTAGAGCGTGCGGCTACAGAGTGACCATATGCAATAGGGCCCCAGGCAGTACTCACCTCCACCTCCTGGGGATCGGGAAGCAGCAGCAGGCCGTGGGAAACGAAGCAGGAGAGAGGGAGAGACGGGGATTTCAGTGAGGCCCACCCTCAGACCCGTGATCTCTGGATGAGTGGGGCACTGGGCACTGGCCTTTCATTGCTATGGTCCTCTGACCTCTAGAGCCTCTCATTGGAGGCCAGCATCCCTATGTCTTCACCACAGACAGCTTAAGACCTGGCCCACTTAGGGTCAGCCCAGGAGCAGTCGGGGTGAGGCCCATGGCATTGAGGGGTGAGGCCCATCCCACTCCTCCTAATGGCTCAGCTCTGTCTTCACCATCAGGACGAGGTCTGAGGGGCCCATAGCACCTGGGAAAAGTGATTCTCACACCTGTGCCCTGGGTGTCGCAGAAACACCACCCTCCCTTTGCACGGGGACTGCTTTCCCTCAAGGTCTGACTCTCCTGCAGAGCTCAGACGGTGCAGAGAGTGAGGGGCCAGCATCCTCAGGTACCACGGTCCAGCCACAAACCCTCAGATTCCGAGGGTCCTGAAAGGCCCTCTGAGGTCATCCTGCCCAGCCCCTCAGTGTATAGGAGAGGCCGGAACCCCAGAGACAGGAAATGGCCTGGCTTAGGGTCAGCCCAGGAGCAGTCGGGGTGAGGCCCATGGCATTGAGGGGTGAGGCCCATCCCACTCCTCCTAATGGCTCAGCTCTGTCTTCACCATCAGGACGAGGTCTGAGGGGCCCATAGCACCTGGGAAAAGTGATTCTCACACCTGTGCCCTGGGTGTCGCAGAAACACCACCCTCCCTTTGCACGGGGACTGCTTTCCCTCAAGGTCTGACTCTCCTGCAGAGCTCAGACGGTGCAGAGAGTGAGGGGCCAGCATCCTCAGGTACCACGGTCCAGCCACAAACCCTCAGATTCCGAGGGTCCTGAACGGCCCTCTGAGGTCATCCTGCCCAGCCCCTCGGTGTACAGGAGAGGCCGGAACCCCAGAGACAGGAAATGGCCTGACCCAGGTCGCACCATCACAGAACCCAGGTCTCCTGACACCAGCACACGCCTCTCTTCTGGCTACAACATACAGACTCCAAGACAGGAGGCACGTGGCTGGTCACACCCCACCTGCTCTGGCCTCAGGGCCGTGGGCCGAGGAGTGGCTGAGGCAGAACAGCTCCACGCAGCCTAGCTCACTGGCAGGACACTCCCAACATGCCTGGTTTCCCTCCTTCCCCTAGTGGGGGGGTGGGGGGGTAGGGGGGGTGGCATTGCTGAGAACTGGCGAACAGGGTGCATCCGGTGGAAGCTCTGCCAGGCAGGCAGGAGGGCTTCTGGGGACTGGAGGCTAATTCTCCTCCTCTGGAGAGTGGCAGTACTTCTGACTCGCTCCTAACACATGGAAGTGGCAGAAGTAACAAGGGATTTCCGAGACTGGGTCATAAACGATGCGGCTTCCTCCTTGCTCACTCTCTCCCCAGGTAGCTCACCTTAGGGCAGTGGTCGGCAAACTGCAGCTCGCGAGCCACAGGCAGCTCTTTGGCCCCTTGAGTCAGCTGCTGGCCTCCTCTGGATGGAGGTAGAGGGGCATGAGGAGCCACACACAACTGCCCACTCATCCAGAGTCCCGTCCCCGCAAGGGTCAGAGGTGTGCAGGGGTGAGGTGGGAAGGGGCCAGGTGCCTGTCAGGCCTGGGCGGGGAGGGCACAGGGCTCCTGATCACCGGGCAGCCACATGGGGGCAGCCAGGGGCACAAAGGAGGGCAGGCACCACGGCTGAAAGGCCGGACAGTGGCCAGGGCCGAGCAGGCGCTGGGTCAGCACCCCGGTAGAGTGCACGCGGTCAGGTGTGTACTGTGCTTCTGCACACGGTGCCTGCAGGTGTGCAGGTCCTTGTCTATGAGCGTGGCATATAAGCACACACGTGTAAGCAACAGTAGGGAACAGGGACACTTCCAGGCAGCTCACCCAATGCCAGATGGTTTTTATCTAGGAACAAAGTAACAAAGCCACTTCTCCCAGCAGCCTCCAGTTCCCACTTGAGCACAAGGCCCTTCCTCCCACTTGATCTTCCAGACTCTTCCACTGAGAGGGGGTGAGGCGGGGAGGGGAGGGGAGGGGAGAGAGACAGGCAAGAAACCAGCAGACCGCTCCCTGGGAGGAGGCGGTGGCTTGCACCAGCCCTGCTCTTTCTGTCCTGCTTTCCCGTGCATCTCTTTGTTCACATCCCTCGGTGTCTCTCTCCTCCTTCTCTCTCCCCCTCACTCTGCCCACATCTGTCCCGACCACATGTCCAAGCAGACACATGTCCCGCTGTCCGTGAGCCCAGGAGCAGCAGGAGGAAAGCCTCCGAAGGGGCTTCCGGAGAACCTGGCCGGGGCCGCCCCGGGCACTGGACAGTCCAGCCCAGCGCCAGGCTCGGCACCCACCCAGTTCCTCAGGGCACGGCCTGACCTCCTGAGCCCCAGGCAAGCTCCTAAGGAGACGGCAGGGCTAGGAGCTGAGCCCAGTTTCCCGCATGTGCTAGGGCCCAGGGAGGCCAGCCCAGACCCGGCCCTTCCGCTCCAGGAATCCTCCGGACAGAGCGTCCTCTCCGGTGCCCACTCCGCCTGATGAAAGTGGAGGCTGAGAGTGGCCAAGGGCTGCGGTCAGGGTTACAAGGTCGGGGCACAAGTAGGGCCTGGCCTCCATCAAATTTGGATCTTCCCGCTGCTCCATCATCCCGTGAGAGAGTGGACATAGGCTGTGAAGAGGACAGGAAGTGGCTGTCCCCAGCCAACAAGGGCTGTGTGCCCCACACCCACCTGCACCTGAACTGGAATGGGGGGGCTGTGTGCCCCACACCCACCTGCACCTGAACTGGAATGGGGGGGCTGTGTGCCCCACACCCACCTGCACCTGAACTGGAATGGGGGGGGCTGTGTGCCCACACCCACCTGCACCTGACCTGGAATGGGGGGGTCTGTGTGCCCAGACCCACCTGCACCTGAACTGGAATGGGGGGGCTGTGTGCCCCAGACCCACCTACACCTGAACTGGAATGGGATCCCCCAAACCTCTATTCCCCTAAACCCATGTCCAGAATCCCTTCCAGCTTCTCCCATAAGCTCCTTTTCCACCCCCATCCTCTCCCCATCTCTCCCCGCTTCCCCTTGGATAATCCCACACTGAATGCTACAGGGAAGTCAGGGTGAGGGTGCAAAGAGAGGAGGGGGAGTAGAGCGTGCGGCTACAGAGTGACCATATGCAATAGGGCCCCAGGCAGTACTCACCTCCACCTCCTGGGGATCGGGGGCATATGGTGTCAGCCAAGGGCCTCCAGGTCGGCTCACCCACACTCCCACCCACCCCACTGCCTAACCCCCAGCCATGCTGTGAGCCTTTGGAGCTCAGTACAAAGTGGGTCTCGAAAGTCAAGACCAAGAACTTTTTATTAGAAATCTAGGGGAGAGTGGGCGGGGAAGAGGGAGCCTTGAGAAAGGAGATTTCACCATCCAGCTCCTTCGTGAGAGCCCTGGCGGGGAGCTATCTCCACTCCTCCCACTCCTCCCCTGGTCAGCCTGCAGGGATTAAGCCCCTGCTGTATACAGTGCTGTCCTCCGTTCCAGCTGCGCTGTGCCCACGTGGTGGGTGGAGGGAGGCCGAGTGCTCCGCTTAGGGTCAGCCCAGGAGCAGTCGGGGTGAGGCCCATCCCACTCCTCCTAATGGCTCAGCCCTGTCTCCACCATCAGGACAACGTCTGAGGGGCCCATAACACCTGGGGGGCCCAGGGGCCTCACGCCCAGGAGTGGGAGCAGCGGGCCGAGGGGTGAGGAGAGGGCCCGGAGTCCCACAGGATCCCACCTCCCTTGCAGCGCTGCTGGGCAAGCAGCTGGCCTGTGGGAGCAGCCTGTGCCCTGGGTGTCGCAGAAACACCACCCTCCCTTTGCGAGGGTGCGTCCCTTGCCAGTCCCCTCCCCTGGCCGTGCTCACCGTGACTGAGGCGGAAGGAGGCCCTCCCTAGGGTGGCACGGGGACTGCTTTCCCTCAAGGTCTGACTCTCCTGCAGAGCTCAGATGGTGCACTGAGAGCGAGGGGCCAGCGTCCTCAGGTACCACGGTCCAGCCACAAACCCTCAGATTCCGAGGGTCCTGAACGGCCCTCTGAGGTCATCCTGCCCAGCCCCTCGGTGTACAGGAGAGGCCGGAACCCCAGAGACAGGAAATGGCCTGACCCAGGTCGCACCATCACAGAACCCAGGTCTCCTGACACCAGCACACGCCTCTCTTCTGGCTACAACATACAGACTCCAAGACAGGAGGCACGTGGCTGGTCACGCCCCACCTACTCTGGCCTCAGGGCCGTGGGCCGAGGAGTGGCTGAGGCAGAACAGCTCCACGCAGCCTAGCTCACTGGCAGGACACTCCCAACACGCCTGGTTTCCCTCCTGTCCCCAGTGGGGGGGGATGGCATTGCTGAGAACTGGCGAACAGGGTGCTTCCGGTGGAAGCTCTGCCAGGCAAGCAGGAGGGCTTCTGGGGACTGCAGGCTGGCGGTGCCAAGGAGCCAGCTGCTGGCCTCCTCTGGATGGAGGTAGAGGGGCATGAGGAGCCACACACAACTGCCCACTCATCCAGAGTCCCGTCCCCGCAAGGGTCAGAGGTGTGCAGGGGTGAGGTGGGAAGGGGCCAGATGCCTGTCAGGCCTGGGCGGGGAGGGCACAGGGCTCCTGATCACCGGGCAGCCACATGGGGGCAGCCAGGGGCACAAAGGAGGGCAGGCACCACGGCTGAAAGGCCGGACAGTGGCCAGGGCCGAGCAGGCGCTGGGTCAGCACCCCGGTAGAGTGCACGCGGTCAGGTGTGTACTGTGCTTCTGCACACGGTGCCTGCAGGTGTGCAGGTCCTTGTCTATGAGCGTGGCATATAAGCACACACGTGTAAGCAACAGTAGGGAACAGGGACACTTCCAGGCAGCTCACCCAATGCCAGATGGTTTTTATCTAGGAACAAAGTAACAAAGCCACTTCTCCCAGCAGCCTCCAGTTCCCACTTGAGCACAAGGCCCTTCCTCCCACTTGATCTTCCAGACTCTTCCACTGAGAGGGGGTGAGGCGGGGAGGGGAGGGGAGGGGAGAGAGACAGGCAAGAAACCAGCAGACCGCTCCCTGGGAGGAGGCGGTGGCTTGCACCAGCCCTGCTCTTTCTGTCCTGCTTTCCCGTGCATCTCTTTGTTCACATCCCTCGGTGTCTCTCTCCTCCTTCTCTCTCCCCCTCACTCTGCCCACATCTGTCCCGACCACATGTCCAAGCAGACACATGTCCCGCTGTCCGTGAGCCCAGGAGCAGCAGGAGGAAAGCCTCCGAAGGGGCTTCCGGAGAACCTGGCCGGGGCCGCCCCGGGCACTGGACAGTCCAGCCCAGCGCCAGGCTCGGCACCCACCCAGTTCCTCAGGGCACGGCCTGACCTCCTGAGCCCCAGGCAAGCTCCTAAGGAGACGGCAGGGCTAGGAGCTGAGCCCAGTTTCCCGCATGTGCTAGGGCCCAGGGAGGCCAGCCCAGACCCGGCCCTTCCTCTCCAGGAATCCTCCGGACAGAGCGTCCTCTCCGGTGCCCACTCCGCCTGATGAAAGTGGAGGCTGAGAGTGGCCAAGGGCTGCGGTCAGGGTTACAAGGTCGGGGCAAAAGTAGGGCCTGGCCTCCATCAAATTTGGATCTTCCCGCTGCTCCATCATCCCGTGAGAGAGTGGACATAGGCTGTGAAGAGGACAGGAAGTGGCTGTCCCCAGCCAACAAGGGCTGTGTGCCCCACACCCACCTGCACCTGAACTGGAATGGGGGGGCTGTGTGCCCCACACCCACC